AGCTCTTCGTAATTGGAATCGAGATATGACTATTCATCAAGTATTAAATGATATTCGTGCGAATATGTCATCGAAAGAGAATGCAAAATTATCTCAACCATCTGAAGGAGCAGTTTATCCATCTCAGTAATTATTAATAAATAGAAAAATGATTCTTAAATACGAACGATTCTTTTTTTTTTTTCTTTTTTGTTCTTTGCTTATGCTTCTTCTTTTTGTTCATATAAAGAAAAACAAATAAAATTTCTTTCTTTTTTTTCATTTTTCTCTGGTTGTTTGTGATATCTTATTTGCAACTATTCATTAATCATTTGTTCTAGAAAAATAATGAAATTAACATTAACATCATTAAAAAAATCAAATGATATCAATTCATTATCAGATAATGATATTCGAATTCATGAAGGTTCATCATATCAAGCTAATATACCTTCATTTAATTCTATATCATTAATAACTGATCATGATGCTACTCTTTTGTGGAAACCAACTAATTTAATTAATGATAGTGATCTAATAGATTATATTGAATATGCTTATAATAAACATCATATGAATGAAGAACAAGCACTAGCTATATTACAAATATGTAAATATAAAATTACAACAAGTAAATTACTTATGGAACAATATACACCTGAAAATGATCAATGGACAATGGAAGAAAAATTTCTATTTGAACAAGCATATCAATTTTATGGAAAAATATTTTCACGTATTAAACAAATGTTACCAGAGAAAAGTATTGCTGAACTTGTTCGATATTATTATTCATGGAAAAAAATACGTTTATATCAAAGTTTAATGGATAAACATGAAAAACAATATCAATTAATACCGTTTGATGAAGATTATGAAAGTGATAATGAAAAAAATACAACATTAATACGCTTATCAACAAAGTGAGTTTAATACAAGAAAAATAAAATATTCCAGATCAATAATTTTGGTACCCGAATTCATATTATCATCGGAAATATGCCATTTCCGATCGGAAAATGATAGGAACTTCAGGACAGAAATCAGTTAATTGAATTTGATAGTTGACGTTTTCTAGTTCTGGGTTTAGGAAGTCGTCGAATTCTTGCTTTTAATTTTTCGACTAGAAACAGTCTTTGTTTCTTAATCTGTAGTCTTGAATATGAAATAGAAATATAGAGTCAAGGTTGATTCTAACGTATTTTTTTTTCTTCATAATCTCTACCCAGGTCAAGCTCGGTACGTTGGAACCGATCGGTTCCGTTGAATTCCGACGATTTCTTTACTACAGGATTCCGATCCAGATTTGGTCGGACCAGTTCCGATCAGTTTCCATCGGTTCCGTCGATTTCCGACGAATTCCTGGTCGAAATTTTGCGGAATTTAACGGAATTTTTCCGGCGAAAATTGGACCGGAATCCTGTAGTCAAGAAATCGTCGGAAGTCAACGGAGCCGACCGAAAACCAACGGAATCTATAGGATTCGCTGCCGGAAAACGAAGGAAACAAACGGTTTCGGCGATCGGAACAGTCGACCTTGGTATATCTAAATGAAATATCAAGTAAATCTTCATAATTTATCAATTTGAATGATTAATATCGTTAATAAAAAGTTCGACTGATTGACAATAGAATTTTTCTTCAATTATAATTCATTTTACATCAAATTAAATTTCTTAGTTCTCACAAACAAAATCGATTCATATAATTTTTTGAAATGTATTTTTATTTTTCATGTAGTATCTTAAAAAAACAAAAAAAATGTGGAAGAAAATAATCATTTGAATTGCTTTCTAAAGTATTCAAATGTTATAATTTTCCTTGTTTTATTTTTATTTTTTTTGTTTAAATCAGAAATTTGGATAATTATTCAAACATAACATTCGATCAAGATAGTATTGAAGAACAAGAATGTTGTAATTGTGAACTAACTTCTAAAACAATGCATTCAACATCAAAAGGTATACTTTGTGATGAATGTTATATTTATTGGAAAAATTCTAATTTAATGCGATCAAAATTCTATTATAATAAATCATCAATAAAAAAAATAAAACGACCACCAAAAAATATGTCAATTGATTTACGAAGTTTAACATCAAATCAAACAATGAATTCTATTGAAAAATTAGAAGAAGATATTCGTAATGAATTATCAATAATACAATTACATAATCAATCTATTGAATATTTAACAAAACAATCAAGAATTGAACTTGAAACAATGCATATACCATTTCTAATAAAAAATATTAATACAAATGAAATAACAACATCAACATGGTCAATAGAAGAAATTCTTCTTGTTATACAAGCATTTGCAAAATATGGAAAAGATTTTCATACTATATCACGTATAATTGGTTCAACAAAAAGTATTCATGATATTGAAACATTTTTTTTTGAATATCGTGAACGTTATCAACTTGATATGATTATTGATATGAATTCTAAACCAATAACAAATTTACAAAATAAACAAGATGATATTGTTTTTGTTAGTCAATAATTAAATTATTATCTACAGTAGCTATCAATATTATTTAATCAATAGATTATTTTGTGTATGTTTCAACAAATTGATGAGTTAGAAATGATCTGGTTTTTGTCAGATTTTACTATCCATAGTTTCTAGTAAAAAAAAAAAGAAATAAAGTTATTAATGCAATACCAGTGGGACTAAAATATGAAACACGATGTAGCTGTTCTTGGTAATCATAGGAATATTCTTTTATTCTATCTTTTTTTTTCGGCATATTTCTAAACCATTCTTTTACTTATTTCTCTAGAACTGGAAGCATACATATATAATACTAACGAGGGAACATTCTTAAGTGTCACATCGCTTTTGAGTCGGCCGTATGGGGATTATGTAGGTTCTAATGATCTATGAATCCTCCCAAAAAAGTTCATGCCGCTAGCTTCTTACTGCTGAGATATAGCATTTTTACTATATGTTTCGGAAAAAGCCGTGGCCCTCCTCAGGAACATCAGGAAAAGTGAGTTTTGAGTTTCGGCCTGAAACTTTGCATGTATATAGGCTTCAATGAGAACAGTTTATTGTGAATGTTTCAGATTTTTTGGTTGCTCCCAGTCTGAGATAAGAACATCGGATCCGCTGGGATATATGAGCAATTTTATGATAATTGTATCTTAGGATAGATGCAACGAAAAAAAGCTAAAACTTTCACAATAAAGTATTCTCATTGAGCCCTATATCTATGCAAAGTTTGAAATTGAAATTCAAAATTCAGTTTCCCAAGTGTTCCTGAGGGGACCACAGCTCTCTTTTCTTAAACATGCAGTAAAAAGGCAGTATCTCAGCAATAATAAGCTAGTGGCACGAACTTTTTTCAGAGAATTCATAGATCGTTAGGATCTACATAATGCGCATATGCTCGATTTAAAAGCGATATGACAGTTGAGAATGCTTCCTCGTAAGACGTTTTTCATATACGGTCTTTGATCATCTATCAACAATGTTTGTCACGATATTTGAACAGGAGAAGGTGATTCACTTGTCCCACTATGTCCTTGAGAACTCCTTTCAGTAATTATTTATTAAGGAATCGTTAATGAGTTACTAATTAGGTATGAAATGGCAAGTCTGTGAGGAACAGGTGAGTAGGTACAAATTTTTACCTTGTACACTTCAATATTTTTTTAAAATCGTGTTTCATAAAATTCAGATCGATCAACAAATCGGTTTAATTTTTGTTGATAAAATACCTTTCTTTTTTATAAACTGTTACGATCCTGTTCTAAGCTGAAATTTACTTTAGAATCTATGATTCAATAGAACAAGTTGTGCGTTAGATAAGAAGTACTTTTAATCGAAGGTTTCTTTTGACCCATATTAGAAATTGTCGATAAGGAACACTTTTTTTTTCATATGCTATTTAGTCAATTGACATATCAAAATGCTCTTTTTTTTTTTAAACCATTTTGCGATATGATTAAATTGTTATAGATTCTTTAATCTATAAAACTAAGTTTATGATAAAAAGTTTATTTTTATTTTTATGATATGATACAAAAGAAAAAAAGTATACCATAATAATTATAATGGATGAAGTAATAAATCACTATAATGATATTTTTTATAGATTGAAATAGTTATAGATAGTTGCTGAAGTCTTAACTATGATAAGAAAAACAAATCAGTGTCTCACAACATTAAATTGATGTTCACTAAGATGTACATTCTATAAAATTGTTTTAACAGCGCCAAATTTGTAAAGAAATCGTTATATTTGAAATCAAGACCTATCAAATAGGTTAAATTATATTGCTTTATTACGTTATAAATACGTGAAATAAAAAACTTACCATAATTCTAATGAAAAAAAAAATGCATATGTATCTTACCAAACAAAGATGTCTACAATAAAAGTTAACATAGCGCCTTATTTTAAATTTTATCTTACATAGATGTGACGCGCAAAAAATTAACTATGTATTTAATCAGATATACACTTAGACTATGGTAAGCTTTGTATTTTATCTATTTATACTCTAAAAAAAATTAAAAACTATAAATAGAATAGTTTAAACAATGCTTAGTACTCTTCATAATGATATATTGAACAATCTAATTAAGTGAATATGATAAGAAAATAAGTGTCGTTTGTCAATAATTTTACATATGGGTCAAAAAACTATTATATTTAAACAAATAAAATCTATAATAAACAGTACTTCTTATGTAGAGCAAAATTTATTGAATCATGTATTATAAATAAAAATTTCAATTTAAATCAATCTTGTAATAGTTTACTAAAAAAAAAATTTTATCATTAAAATAAATCAATCGATTGATCTAAATTTTTCTTTATTAAAATTCTAAAGATTATGATATGTAATCCGATAGAAAACCTAAATCATTTTAACTCATCTAATTTTTTAAAATATACATAAAATTATCAATTGATTAGATAATTTTGATGGCCATAGTTATATTTATAGATTATTTTCAGTCTGTGTATGTGAGTAGAATTAAATATAAATTTTTAATTTCAGATATGGAAGATATTATTCTAACACTTGAACCAGTATTTCATCGTGTTGAAAAATTTTTATTATGGCATAATCGATATGCAAGTTTATTTGCATTTATTTTTGGTCATGGTATTTTTTATGCTATAGCACGTGCTGGTTTAAGACCATTTTGTGCTATTACATTAGTTTTATTCATAATTCATATACTTGATTGTATTAGAAAAAAACGTTTAAATGATGAAGAAAAAAATTTATCAGAATTAACAAAACTTATTTTACGTTTATATCAATATATATGTCATACACATGAAAAATTAAATATAATTAAAACAGAAAATCGTGCAAAATATTCAATAATTATTATTATTATTAGTCTTATACTTGCTTATATTGGAATGAAAATAAATGGATATTATATATCATATGTAGTTATGTTGATACTTTTTACATTACCAGCTATTGTTTATCATAAATTAATATCAAAATTATTGAAACGTTTAGCTCCTATACTTGAACAATTGGATGAATCGATGTAAGTTAAAAGAATTTAGTTGTATAAAATGTTTTTTCATTTTATATTAATTAGGGAATATAAACGACGTACGTTAATTGATCGTAAAGATTTATTAGTTAAAATAAAAACTCCAGGTTTAAATGAAAATGATGATGACGATGATGATGATGAAGATTTTCGAAAACTTAAACAAAAACAACAAATTCAAACGAAAGATCATTTATCAATCATAAATGATGATAATGATGACGATGACGATGATGATGATGATGATGATGATAATAATAATAATGATAATGATGATGAAAGTAGTGAACAAAATCTCATCTCAACAAGTAATGAATACGAAACATCATATACTTCTCAATTATCAAAACAAACAAATCCAAGTGCTTCAAATTTTGATATATTGAATGATTCATCATCATCAATAGCTGATGATGAAACAAGTCGTATAAATGAATTATATGCTAATGTTGGTGATAAAATTGATGGTAAACAACGTATTAAAATCAAAGATAATGAAATAAAAATCAAAGGATATTCAAATAAACAACGATCAAGAATGCCAGATGCAAATTTCTTTCGATCAAATAATATAAATATAAAAAATGCTAGTGGTGAACCAGATCTTACTGGTTTTGATTTTCTCAATGACTATGATGAATAATCATAATTATATAAAAAATAAAATTTTTTTTTTCTCTTTTTTTTTTGTGTGTTTCAATATATTATCTTTTTTAAAATACCTCACTTGTTTAGTTGTGTATGGTGTTTGTTTCATTGAACAGTAGATGTTTTATGAAAATAAAAAAATAAATAAAATCATTGTTTTTATTATTTTATAGATGTTTAAATGCGATTAATCAATAGATTATTTTCATTTCGACAGATTAGAACAATGACAACACCAAAAATATCTTATTTAACACAACAACAAGCAAAAGATATTGATGAAGAACTTTTTAATGAATATAAATTTAGTGTCGATCAACTTATGGAATTAGCTGGTTTAAGTTGTGCATCAGCTATTGGTAAGACACAAAAAAATCAACAAAATATTAGTAATTTAATAAGTTCAATATCACATGTATTGAAATCAAATGTTTTAAACATAAGAGAACATTGATTATACAAGAAAAAAAAAATCGTTGATACGAGCACATTCCTTTTAAGGTATAATATTGAATGATTATATTTAAGTATAATTGTTCTTTTGATTATATATTCGACTGTTATTCATTGAATAGATTTTGAGCGATAATAGAAATAAAATTATATCGACTATATAAAAATATATTGAACATGTAATTATTTCTTTTTAATCGATTATCTTATTGCATAAAATATATTTAAATGGACACAAAAAATGACTCTATATTAAAATATCATTTTGATTAACTGTCAGAGATGTCTATCGTCACTAAAAACTTGCTACTGTTGCGTTGTAATAATAGAAAAGAAAATTTCGTACATTATTGTCACGACTACAGATGTATGGGATCATGATCAATGTTTAGAAACTTGCTGAAATCGAAATCCGAACTACGCGAATAAAGTTATTCAATCAGAATTAAAATTTAGAGTTAAATATTTTATGATTTTAAGAGAATCATCTTATAAATCATCAGTCAAAAGAGATGACTGAAAACAAAAGTGCTAGTCATTGATTAAACAAATAAAAAATGAGTATGAAAGAATTGTTGTAAATTTGATACATAGCATAATTGTCTCTAGACCGGAACTACTAGAAAAGAAATTACCGGAACCAGTACCAAAATTACATTTGGTTCTACGTATTCTCTAGTCGTAATCCATTTGAAAGCTTCAGTGAAGTAAGATAACTCAATCTTCAAGCGATCCTTTAATTTCATCATACTTTAAAGCTTCGTCAGTTGTCACAAATCACTTGGAAGAACCTAATCATTGATGTAAGTTTATTTTCCTCGAATTCTCACATAAGAATAAAATTTTACAAAATGTTTCAAATTTCACTCATGCGACTATCCTTAGCTAGAACTATTGTTGCTAATTTTATAAGAGTAATTGAGTTTCCAAATATTACATTTATAGATTCTGAAATTTCATGAAGTTTTGCAATATTCTTCAAGAAGAACACATTGCCCTTGACGCTTCGCGATGATTGTTTACAAATTTACCCCTAGCGACATTGTCACGATGGTGATCTCTACTCTTTAACATGTGATAGATGCATTTAAAACTAAAAATATTTATTCTTCAAAAATGTATCATAATAAATAAAAAGCTAAACTTATATATATATACATTGCGCACAAAGAAATCTAAACAGACAAGAAAATTTTTATTTGAATTCAATTTCAATTTCTGTTTTCATTGATGTACTTCATTGAGTTATTAGTAAAAATTTCGTCTTGTGATCAACTATTAATTAAAACATACTGAGTTTTATTTTTCAATTTAGAAAAGGCATATAATGATAGAAATAAATATTCAAAATGTCTTGTTATAGTTGGTAGTGGTAATAATGGTGGTGATGGTCTTGTATGTGCACGTCATTTAAAATTATTTGGTTATGAACCATTAATATTTTATCCTAAACGAACAGATAAACAATTATATAAAAATCTTCTTCTTCAATGTGAAAAAATGAATATTAAAATAATTGATAAAATATCATCGGAAAAACAAATAAATTTAATTATTGATGCTATATTTGGTTTTGGATTTTCCGGTGAAATGCGTGAACCATTTAATAGTATTCTTCAAGAAATAAAAACTTTAGAACAAACAACACCAATTATATCAATTGATATACCAAGTGGTTGGGATGTTGAAAAAGGTCCTATAAATGATAATTGTATTCAACCAGAATGTGTTATTTCATTAACAGCACCAAAATTATGCATGAAATATTTTCAAGGAAAATATCATTTTTTAGGTGGAAGATTTGTTCCTAAAGCTTTAGAAGATAAATATAAAATTATTCTTCCTAATTATTCGAATAGTGAACAAATTGTTCAAATTTAAAAGAAAGAAAAAAAAAATGTTCTGCTTCTTATTTTTCCCTTGGTTTTATATTTTTAGATGTCACCTTTATTGATTATTGATCCTCGACAACCACTTTCGATTGATTCATTTGAATTTCTTTATCAAGCTATTGCTAAAGATATTAGTTCAATTTATATACCACTTAGAGATGGTTTAGCTCTTCTAGCTGGTTGTTATATATTAAAAAAAGTATTACCTTTACCATATTATTTATATCGAACATTAAAACTTTATTTTTTTCCTTATAAAATTAATTCAGTTCTATTAAAAACACCATTAATAACAAATTCTAATAATAATGATTTATTACTATCAGATTATGATGAACATTGGGCATTAATTAATGATTGTACAACACCAAGTGGTTGTGCTTTTGCACAAAATTTAGCTGTAATTATTAGTTTTTTTTTAATATGTGTTTGTTTTTGTTTTTTTTTTTTTAATTATAAATCTTTTTTACTTTTATTTAAGAAACGTGGTTATAATCTTATATTAGTTTCAACAGAAGAATTTCAAGAAGAATTAAAATTACTTTCAACTCATATTGAACGTACATTTTTAATTCGTACCGTAACAGTTATTTATCGATGGAATAGTCCACATCAACCACTTGAATTAACAACACCAATACGAACAGTAGCTGGAACATGGTCAACAAATACACCACCAACTATTGGTCAAATACCATTGTCAAATAAATTTCATCGTGCTGGTTCATTTGATCGTCTTGAAACAATTGAAACAATTGCACGTACTGCAAATCTTGTTCTTTATATTAATTGTACACGACCATTTAATGATCAAAATCTATCAAAAACACTCAATCCAGCTGAATTTCAATCAATTGTTAATAATTATCTTATACCACCTATGTTATTAGCATATATTGTGAGTCGTTTTGTTTTAGAGAAATATTTCTATTATTCAGAACTCTTGAAGGTCTAGATGATCTCGATTAGAAAAATGAATTGACACTTGAGAAAATGTTTTTGGATACTCAAAAATATAACCTAGAAAGAGTATTGATGTATATGGAGTAGAAATTTGAATATATGAACTACTTGCTTATTACAGTTCTAGACGATTAAATAACCAGTAACGAAGAAATCAATGCTAAAATAGATCGTAGCATAGGCGACGGAGCGTATAGGCTTGAAAGACTTGAGCCTCACCTGATTTTGAAACATTCTGCCGTCCCTGGATCGTATTAAAAGAAAATTTCATGTAATTAGTAACAATAGTTATATTCTGTTTCATATATTAATCTCATAGAAATTGTGTATTAACAGATTTTTCTTGCTAAATTAGGTTCTACCGTATATGTCAACACGATCTCAACCTGCATATCTACTCAATGTTGTTCCACATCCATCTTGTCTTAATTCTACTCTTCATCGTTTATTAACAATTTATTTCAATGCACGTAAAGATGAATATTCTAATAATGGTTTACTTCATTTTCAAACAGTTTATTTACCTTTTCGATGGATTCGTTCGTCAAATGATGTATGTAATGTTGAAAATTTTCAAAAATATATTTTATCTAAACATGGTTTAAATCAAAATAATGATTTAATATGGGGTTCATGTAAACCACAAATATATGTTGATACAACACTTCGACAATTAGGTCGATGTGATCGTAGTGCTGGTTATTGGTTAAATGCTCTTCATTTAACATGTCTTTCAATTTTGCCAAGATGTATTTCCCATAGACTTATTGATTATTGTATTACTATGAAATGATAAGATTTAATCTTTTTTTTTTGTTGTTTCGTCTTTCTTTTCTCATATGATTATCGATGAATGTTTTGTGTTTTTTTGCTTTTGACATACATACAAAACAAACAAAAATATATAAATCAAAAGAAACGATTCTTTTGTCTTTCTTTGAATTAGTCTAGAATAGAAATAGTAGAAGATTTATAGTTATGACCATAAATTATGTATTAGTCTATAGAATAGACGAATTAATATGTAATAAACGAGTGTTATAATTTAAATACGAATGAATTAAAATAATAAAATATCAAATTATTTCAATGTTTTTTTTTATTTTTAGTAAGTTCGAAAAGGTTTTAATTATAAAAAGTTCTTAAGATGTATATTCTAGATAAATGAATACTTATGTATTGTTATAGATGAAAAAGAGATTTTGTTCGTACTCAGTAAATCAGTTAATTTACTTCAGGGTACTAAAATACGTTCGAGATGATTTATTTAATAGTAGCACAAGAATATCTCTTTGTGAATATTACCATATACTTAAGTATAGACTAAAGGAGAGATTATCGATTGATGACTTACTGTTATTCGCTATTTCATGCTAAAAAACTTCGACTTGACAAACATTGTTTCCATCCGTTCGTTGTATAATTTATTATTTAGTAGTAATCTTAGAATATAACGGAAGGTTCAGCCGAATCAAATAGTTGCTTCTCGAAATACTGAATATTCAAAGAAAGAACCATATACTACAAAAAATAAATTATAAAGTCAACTTCTGCCGTATTCCATGTGTTGAGAAAGAGTCATCTGATTTGACTGACACTTTCAGACTATTCTAAAGATCAAGAAATCTATTTTGTAAACAAAAGTTCAGATAAAAATTTTTCTATAAATACCTTGCTATCGGGCGTA